TTACATTGTGCACTCGGTTAGCTTTTATTATCGTGGCAATAAGAATTATATTAGTTTGTGCGTGTTTAAGTTCGGTTTCAAAGAATCTATTTGGTTTGAGATAGATGCGCGACCCCTACAAGATAGCCTATTTGCTTACAATAAAATTTATCTCCAATTTGTATGTTGTCACTGTAGAACTGTGGCGGACACGGAGATGTTTTTAACTTTTTAATCAAAATTATATTAAATCATAATATATCTTTATCCGTGCGGTGGCGGAGAAAGAATACCACTCACCGCCCCATCACTTCCCGCGGGTGTCGTAAGAAGCGACTGAGGGATATCAGAGCTTCCATCTGCTCTCCTGGTGGTAGGGTGCCTAACATCCTCCTGGTTTGTTACCACCGTACGCATGGTGAAAAACCCGTGAAGTGCTTCACGCGCGTTTCGGGATCAGCCAGCGTACAACCAGAGCTCGAGTGGAGATTGCCGCGACGGATTTGGTACAGTGGAAGCATCCGTCGAACCGATGCCGGGAGGTCTGCATCGACCCACCGGCCAGGGAGATCCATAGAAACGGCTGTCCCGCTGGCCGCCCGTGGCACAGTACAGGGGCCCGAGCGTTCCTAACCAGATCGCTGCACCATCATGTCACGCATAGTCTCGGGGTGGACCGCCTTGCTGGTTGGGGCCCTTCCGTCCGTTGGATCGGGGTATCTCTTTCTTAGGCAGTTACTCGTAAAAACGTGCCTCCACATATTTGCCTGACTTTGTCGCGACTAACTCCACTCGATTCACGTCTCTCAATTTTTTCTCATGATGGCAGCCCGTATAATAAAGTTAGATTGACAGCGGTGCACACCCCCATGCCTTCCGCGCTGTTTGAGGTTGAGTTCTGTAATATACTCAGACTCTACTCTAACCTCAATGCTGTCCACTGCCATCTTGAGACAGCACGGCCAGCAAAATTGTTTCTCACGGAGACACAAATACTTCCGTCCGCTAATACAGGCTACCTTAAATATCCCGGCTACGCGCTTGAAGAATCCTATAAAGCAAAAGCCGGCGTATGCCTGTATGTTCGGACGGATGTTTGTTGTCGGCGTTCGAGCAGCCTGGAAGACCACTACTTTTCCATGTTGACGGTACATGTAGACTCTGGTCATTTGGCCAGGCGCAATTTCCCAACGCGGAACTATCATCAGATCATTGCCTGATATATGTCAAGGTGACACAGGTCAACATCCCTCGACCATTGGTGATCAAACGCAGGGTCTGGCACTATGGGTCGGCAGATTAGGATGGTATGCACGACTACTTTGCGTCCGTCCCTTGGACGCAGCGTTGCTTCAGTGAAAAGGACCTATCAGCCAGCGCCGTTGCTATTACTAAGGAGATCATAATGAGAATATAATATTACATTCCAAATTCTAATCGCATCAGTAAGGGCACACGTAACCGCTAGTTCAATCGTGACTGTGCTGTTGCTGTTTCTCGTAAGCAGGCGGCATATCGCGCTTGGATTAGAGGCCGCGCTCTTAAGGAGCGGATGCCCAACGTGTAGCACGTACTAGCCACGAATTGCTAACGCACCCTACGGGCTCCCGTAGTTTTTGGCGTTTGGCTAAGACCATGCAGCACAACTTCTGCCAGCCCTCACTGCCACCTCTGCGATGTCCAGATGGATCACTAGCTCATGAGCTGCAAGAGAAAGCCGATTTGTTGGCAACGCTCTTTGCGGCTAACTACCGAATCAGTGATTGCAATGCACTGCCACCTACACTACCTCATTATGACACTACGATGCCTGACATTAAAATCAGGCAGCGTGATGTTCGTGCGGAGTTGCTATCACTCGACGTCAGGGAAGCTAGTGGACTCGATGGCATCCCAGCAGTTGTACTAAAACATTGTGCAGCGGAGTTGTCTCCCGTGCTTACGAGCTTGTAGAGAGTAGAGAGTAAGTAAGAGAGTTGTCTCTTACTCTTTGGGGCGTGTGCCGGAGGCTTGGTGAGATGCAAATGTGTAATGTGTGTAAAGTCTTAGAAATGGTCCTTAACAACCATATGACGCGCTACCTAGAAGATTACTCTCTGATTCACGATCGTCAATACTGATTTAGGCTGAATCGATCGACGGGTGACCTTCTAGCGTACGTGACACACATCTGGGGTGAAGCTATAGACAAGCGGGTAGAGTCTATGGCTATTAGCCTTGACATCGCCAAGTCTTTTGACAGGGTCTGGCACAAAAGCTTTCTCTCCAAGCTTCCTGCATACGGACTGCCTGCTGAGTTCCAGCATGAGCGTAGAATTCGCGTCCTTACGGACGGTTGTAGTTCGCAGTTAATGCCAGTGAATGCCGGTGTTCCTCAGGGCTCCGTTCTGTCCCCCACACTCTTTCTGCTGCATATCAATGATTTGATTCCACTTGCGAATATTCATTGCTATGCAGACGATAGTACAGTGTATGCGAGATACTTTGGATACGCAGCAGCTGGACAGTTAGAGACCAAGAAGAAACGGGAGAATTTTGTCTTTGAACTTAATCAGGCTTTGGACCACATTACCGAATGAGGTACCAGGAACTTGGTTGAGTTCAATGGCAAGAAAACTCAGGCTTGCGCTTTCACGGCAAACACATCGCCATTCCTTCCTCTCTTCAGGGCACAACACTGGCTCTGGCTGACAGAGCAACATAAACTGCAGTACCAGCTATCTTCGCGATTGAACTTTATCACCACGTAACATCAGGTGGTTTAGAGTTATTTGCTTACATCGCTTTAAATAAAAAAAAAATCTTCATTTGCTAATGACACAAAACACAGAGGTGTCATTCATTACATTACACTAATGAATACGAGTTAACTGTTTATTTTGTCCGTATAATACGATATCGGACAGATACAATTTTGGAAAGACGATAAGTAAATAAACTTTTAGTGGCCCGTAATCGCTTAAGTTGAACGTGAAAGTTTTTGGTATGTATTTACAAAATATGTCAAAACTAAATCTACCCACCATTACTAGCATTTAGGTAAAAAACTAGAGGAAAATCCATTCAGCATAAGTATTCTGTAAGATGCAATCTCATTTATTCGGATTTAAGACAAATGCCAAATACCTAATACTGACTGCTTTTGCAGACACAGCGACATTTGGCGAAGTGTAATGGCGTAATGGATATCAAACAATGTTTAAAATGGCAGCTACCGAAATCGGAAGTGAGATTTTATTTCACAGAATCGCCCCTCAGTTCAAAGATATAATAAAACTAGCGGCCCGCCCTCGCTTCGCTTCGTTGTAGAGCTGAAGTATAGACTACAGTTTTTGTTTTCAGGCTTGTATTATACACAATGACATTCATCTATGATTCTTCTTATACCTGCATGCAAAGTCTCAGCCCGATCGGTTTAAAACTGACAAAGTTTCATACAAACTTTCATTCCCTATTTTATCCCCTTGGAGCTAGAATTGATCAAAATCCTTTCTTAGCGGATGCCTACTTGATAACATCTACCTGCGTGCCAAATTTCAGCACGATCCGTCCAGTGGTTTGGGCTGTGCGTTGATAGATCACTATGTCAGTCAGTCAGTCACCTTTGAGTTTTATATGTATAGATACACTTAGGCATTGTCCTAATACAACGCGATAACGCGAATGAGCGATGCGATCATCGTACGAGTCGACGATCAAACATATTGATCTAGAATAGATGTCCTAATAGCCGATCGCGCGATGCATTCGCGCGACTAAAATGTTTAAAAATCTATTCGCGCGTACTTGGTTCGCGCGAACGCGCAATCAAACCTGTGAATGATGAATAGGTGTCCTAACTGAAGTTCGCGCGATGATCGCGTCGCGTCGATAGGAAGCGGGGAGAGGGGCAGGGCTAACCCGTTCCGCATTCGCGTTCTATTAGGACACCCAGTTCGCGATCACGCGATGGTCGCGTCGTTTAAACGCGCGATGATCGCGTTATCGCGTTGTATTAGGACAATGCCTTACACGATCATTTATTTTTGTGAGCGAGTGTATATCTTCCAGCGACAGCAGAGATATCGAATGTTTTAAGTATGACTAAAGCTGTTACTTTCTATGAAGTAACATTGTTTTTTGTGGCAAAAAAATAAATAAGAATAAGTATTAACTTTAAACGACGACTTTTTGATGTATCGTAAATATTGATATTTTTATCAATGTGAAAGTTTAAATTAAATTTTATTAGCCAATAATTATTAAATTAAATTTGTAAATAATGAACTATTAAATTATTAGGTGAATAAAAAAAAATAATACAATAAAAGGTTTTAGAAGAATTAATAGAGTTTTTTGGTCTTGTGTTGTTATTTTTTTGTCATTTCATTGCTAGACGTTTAAATCTGCTATTTCTTTAGCTATTCCTTATTTCAAATGTTTCATACTTGTAAAGGTTTTTTACACAGAGTATTTGACATTGTGGGTTGTGTACAAGAGATGGCGCTGCCTTGCAGCCTAAGAATAGGGATGATGACTATTTTTTTTCTTCGTTTATCAGGTAGATTATCAAAAAGTATTGGACACGTATTTTTTCTTTTTTCACATAATATAAACATTGCAGAGATATATTGATTTGAAAAGTTGCATGACGTCAGGTTTTGATACAATTTTCACTTAAAAGTGACGTCACGAGCCCCTACTCCCAAACTTTGACGCGCTATAACTTTGTCGTTTTTTGGTTGATTGACCAAAGAAAAAATACGTGTCCATTATTTTTCAATCATCTAACTGACGTACTAAATAGAATTTCGTTTACTGTACCCCGTCATCACCCTTATTACTAGAGAAAATTCTGAGGTCCGAGGTAGAATAATGGTCAGTGCTTCCGCCCGGATAGCGGAATGTGCGGTTCGAATCCCGTTTGCTGCCTGGTCCGCGTGGAATTTTTTCTGGTAAAATTTTCTTTAGATTTCCATTTATCCAAAAAAAAACAATAAGGATAAGACTCCACTGATCCGTTGTTCTTATAAATTTTCTATCCCGGAGTTGTTTGACAAACGCAATCGATCCGTCAGTAAGTGCGCCGCTGCGCGTGACATGATACAAAAACGGTCAGTACGACTACAATGAGTGCAATGGAAAAAACGGAAAATGTCAGACCAAGTACGTATTACTGTTTTTTTTTTTATTATGGCCAACGTTGCCAACGACTTACTGTGGCTACTATTCCTACACGAAAAAAGAAATTCGGTGACTCATTTCTTTATCGTACTATTTATTCTAAGTCGTCGTAATAAGTGGAATTCTTTGCTTCTTTTCTTTTCTTTCTTTAAAGTAAAGAAGCATTTTTGCAGGCCGCCAAGGTGAGGATGGTTGGTGTGGCTCCCGTTTGGACTTTATCACCACTTAATATTAGCTGAGGTAGAGACATTTGACTACCTGACTATATAAAAAAGGCATAATTGGTGTGGTTCGCTTTTGGACTTTATCACCACTTAATATTAGCTGAGGTAGAGTCATTTGACTACCTGACTATATAAAAAAGGCATAATTGGTGTGGTTCGCTTTTGGACTTTATCACCACTTAATATTAGCTGAGGTAGAGTCATTTGACTACCTGACTATATAAAAAAAGGCATGATTGGTGTGGTTTGCGTTTGGACTTTATCACCACTTAATATTAGCTGAGGTACAGTCATTTGACTACCTGACTATATAAAAAAAAGGCATAATTGGTGTGGTTCGCGTTTGGACTTTATCACCACTTAATATTAGCTGAGGTAGAGTCATTTGACTACCTGACTATATAAAAAAAGGCATGATTGGTGTGGTTCGCGTTTGGACTTTATCACCACTTAATATTAGCTGAGGTAGAGTCATTTGACTACCTGACTATATAAAAAAGGCATAATTGGTGTGGTTCGCGTTTGGACTTTATCACCACTTAATATTAGCTGAGGTAGAGTCATTTGACTACCTGACTATATAAAAAAGGCATAATTGGTGTGGTTCGCTTTTGGACTTTATCACCACTTAATATTAGCTGAGGTAGAGTCATTTGACTACCTGACTATATAAAAAAAGGCATGATTGGTGTGGTTTGCGTTTGGACTTTATCACCACTTAATATTAGCTGAGGTAGAGTCATTTGACTACCTGACTATATAAAAAAAAGGCATGATTGGTGTGGTTCGCGTTTGGACTTTATCACCACTTAATATTAACTGAGGTAGAGTCATTTGACTACCTGACTATATAAAAAAGGCATGATTGGTGTGGTTCGCGTTTGGACTTTATCACCACTTAATATTAGCTGAGGTAGAGTCATTTGACTACCTGACTATATAAAAAAGGCATAATTGGTGTGGTTCGCGTTTGGACTTTATCACCACTTAATATTAGCTGAGGTAGAGTCATTTGACTACCTGACTATATAAAAAAAGGCATAATTGGTGTAGTCCGCTTTTGGACTTTATCACCACTTAATATTAGCTGAGGTAGAGTCATTTGACTACCTGACTATATAAAAAAAGGCATTCGAGCCGTTGGTCATGGCAGCCTTTCATCATCATCATCATCATCCTATTAATGTCCCCACTGCTGGGGCACAGGCCTTTCCCTATGGATGGGTTCAAATCAGAAATCAATATATCTTTATTCAAATTGGATGTATAGTACAACACTTTTGAATCGCACAAACATTTTTTTTTCCCTACCACTCGTTATTGGACATATTTTTTAGCTGCGGAGAAAAACGAGCGAAGAAAACTCCACAACATTAAAAGCATAATGTAACAACATTTACAAATCATTATGTTGTTACAACGTCAATACAATCATGATTTATTTAATATAGAAAACCTGTTGGAATGATTGGAACAGTTCAAACCCAAGCATTTTTGTCTGTAATATAATCAGATACTTTGTAATAAGCTTTTTTAATAAGTGCTTTTTTATACTATCTTTGAATTTATTTATGCTTAACTCTTGGATATTGCTTGGGACTTTATTGTATAAGCGAACACAAATACCTTTAAATGAATTATTGATTTTGTGAAGCCTAGTAGTAGGTAAAGTTAGTTTGTTTTTGTTTCTTGTATTAAGTGTGTGAACATCACTGCTTTTAAGACACAAATTAATATTTTTTCTTACAAATAATAAATTTTCGTAAATGTATTGTGATGCGACCGTCATTATACCAAATTCTTTAAACCTATCTCTTAAGGAATCCTTAACTTTAAGATTATATATTGATCGAATAGCTCTCTTCTGCAGCACAAAAATAGTTTGAATGTCGGCGGCGTTCCCCCACAATAAAATTCCGCACGACATTACACTATGGAAATAACTAAAGTACACTAATCTGGCCTTATCTACATCCGTTAACTGGCGTATCTTCATTACGGCATATGCTGCAGAGCTAAGTCTATTTGACAATTTATCAATATGTGGGCCCCATTGAAGCTTTGAATCTAAAGTAATCCCTAAGAATACTGTGGTTAGGGAGAATTGGGCCATGACCCACCACGCGGGCCCAGTGCGGGTTGGTGGGTGTTAACGACTGCAGATGCAGCCGGGACCAACGGCTTAACGTGCCTTCCGAAGCACGGAGGAGCTCGAGATAGTAAATTTTTGGTCACCCATCCAATGACCGACCACTGCGAAAGTTGCTCAACTTCGACGACCGCAGCCGAACGCGCTAACCACTGGCGCCATCGAGCTCCTCTTGCAGCCTTTACTACCCACTAATCCGGGCCCGCACAGTGGATTATGATAATGATGACCCAATCTCCCCAATCTGAGGAGCTCGATGGCGCAACTGGTTAGCGCGTTAGTTATTTCCATAAGGAAGGCCTGTGCCCCAGCAGTGGGGACATTAATAGGCTAACAAACAAGCCTGATGGTAAACGGCTACAATAACCTTAAGACGCGTGAGATACTGGTTGACTGGTAGTGAATGCCTACAGCATTAAGTCCGCCGTTTGCTTATGTTTGGCAGAAAAGTTTAAATAAATAATATTTTTTGCGCCGTTGCCTAATCCCCTGGCTCGCGGAAATTTTCCAGACTTTAATACAGAATGTAAGAATTGAATTCCGTGACCCCACGGAAATTTGTTTTCTGACTAATGCAATGATTATCTGTGCTCTAATGATTCATTTACATTTTGTCGTTAAACCGTATTCGGGAGCACGATATCATCATCATAATCATCATCATCATCATTATCACCATCGTCATCATCATCATCATCAACCCATGTTCGTCCACTGCTGGAAAGTTCTTGAGTGGATACCACGACTCGGTAAACGTAGTGTAGGACGCCCTGAGACAAGATGGGATGATGATATTCGTAGGCTGGCTGGAGTGGGCTGGATGGGAGTAGCACAAAATCGGGAGCAGTGGCGTGCATTAGGGGAGACCTATGTCCAGCATGAAATACATTACTCGAATTCGGGCACCCGAAGCAATATTTACACTTAAGTCAGAATACGGGCTCGGAGACGATGTCGGGTAACTAAAACGAAAACTACCCGAATACAGGCGTACTCGACTCCGGTCATTTACACTTAGTCGTTGTCTCAGAAAATTCTATGAGTGTAACAACCATGTTTTGGATAATTTCATTCCTAATCCGGCCATTGTACCCAGTCGAGTACGTACCAATGTACCCAGATGAGTACGTACCATTGTACCCAGATGAGTACGTACCATTGTACCCAGATGAGTACGTACCATTGTAACCAGATAAGTACCCAGATGAGTACGTACGTATATGTGTCACATATGGTGACACATAATTTTTCACAGATTTTACTTTCTGCGCATTTTCATTTGTCCCCAACTATGCATTCTTCTTAGTCACTATCTTCATTGCTGAAGGTCGTGTCTATCTTGATAATAATAATAATAAGATTTATTGACCAAAAAAATCAGTCCAGTAAGATTACGTAACAAACTTAGCACTAGTTATACAGAAAGTATAATCTATTAGCCTCTGCTGCTGAACTAGGCAATGCCTGTATTTCAGCATTCAGCGCCATAAACCCCCACAGACATGAAAATACTAAACTAGACTAAATACATATCTCATAAATGAAAAGATCAATAGGTAGCAATTCATTTTGAAAGCAAGGCATCTATGAGTATAATATTGAAATTAATATGTAATGTATGAAATGATGTGTGTATGTGTGTGTGTATTTGTGTATATGTGTTTAAGTGCGGATGTATTTAGCTATTAGTATTTGTAGCATACGTGTATGTATCAGTTTGAATTATTCAAGATAGTATATTTATAAAATTTTCGGTTTCTTCATAAGCCATTGCTTGAAGCCACTTATAGATCACTTCTTTACATACTAACCTGGGTAATGGGTAAATATTCAACCGTTTATTAAAGAATTTAAAAATAATGTATGAATCGCATTTTGTAACTCCTGGTTCCTCCTCCTTGTTATACAGGCCGTCCCACAGCTACCTCACACGGAGGGAAAGTATATTAAATATTGAAGAATATTCCTGAACATTACTGAAAAAAGACATCAATTTATTTTTAATAATAACTAGAACTGCATTCACAGTTTTTTTCTTAAATCGCCTGCTACAACTGAGAATCAAACTCATGAAATTTTGAAAAAAAAAACCAGTGAGAATTTGCATACAACAAAATGGATCACATTTTGAACATTTGATAAATTAAATTATTTTTTTTTCTTGCACCATTTTGTTTTTATATTTGTTTGTGTTAAATAATTTTAAATAAAATGTTAAATTTAATGACTTTTCTTTCATTTAAAATGCTATGTTATGAAGCAAAAAATAATCCTTACGATTAATCCTTTCGATGGTTATCATAAGATATGTCGTATTTTTTTTCGAAATTTCACGAGTTTCATATCCAGTTGTAGCAGGCGATTTTAAAAAAACTGTGAATGCAGTTCTAGTTATTATTAAAAATAAACTGATGTTTTCTTTCAGTGAAATATCGTATCTTCAATATTTAATATACTTTCCCTCCGTGTGAGGTAGCCGTGGGACGCCCTGTATATGTTATAGATATTATTAATCAACTCGTAACTCTGATAATAATTTATTTATCACACATTGTACTCGCTATAGGCGGTAAAACTCACGAGGGAAACGGAAGTTGGTTGGCTCCATAGAGCATAATAAATTCCCTTTTCTATACAGATTACAAAAGTTGTGTTTTTATCAAATATTCCTTCGTAGGTTTAAAGCGAGCACGTCAGACTTTACAGCGTTATTTATGAATACGAATCTTTCAAATAAAATAAATTTCATCGGTATAAATGCACTGATTTATTTATTTATTGATGTTTAGCATCCTTTTCAGGGTGCGTTGTCTGAATTATCATTTTAATCACTTTGTCGAGCTACCTGTAGGTAATTTTACCTGTAGATAATTTTTCAAAAGTTATATTAAAACTAAGGCTCCCAGCCTTAGAAAGAGTTTTGAAGAGAACCTTGCACTTACTCCCTTTCATATACTTGTTCATTTTGTTTTGAAAATTGTTTCTTGCTATTTTGGGACTTATCTTTGCACTTATTGTTAGTAAATTCATTGATTGTTACATATTTGACATTATGTGATGGAAGTTGACCTCAACACATGTTTGCAAGTTTGATGTCAACTTTCAATTGGACGACACTGTATGAAATTAAACAGGGAGAAAAAAGCAGCCCTTGCTGAGTTTCTTGCCGGTTCTTCTCAGTACAAGGTCTCCCGCCGTAGTTTTGCGAACCGATGGCGTAGCTTTTCGACATTCACAAGTGCTTGTAACAGCCTAGACTGAATAAACGATATTGAATTTTGAATTTTTTTTGAATTTTACCTTCGAAAGATTTTTATTGAAATGAAATGAAATTTATTTATTCACACAAAACAGAGTAGATACATTTTGGTGGTGATTTTCATTTAGTTCGTCCATTTTGCCAACGACAGGGCATGTGAATGTCAAACTTAATTTAATACTTAAATTTAAAGGCACTTATGTCATTTTACTTATTCTATTCTTAGTCAATTTTCGTATCTAAATATTCTCTAACTGAGTAAAAACATTTCGTTATTATCTACATTTTATGCTTCCTTTTAAATATAGGCAAACTATTGTATACGTACTAACTAAATTACAATTAGTGAATGCGTCCTCTTCTCTATTTGCTGTGCCCTGTTCAGGGTCTACAATGATCAAAGCAATGTACCTACTAAGATCTAAGAAAACATTGTAGAACGCCATAAAGTATTGATTGATTGATTAAGCTCCGTTATGAAGCGTGGTAATTTATTATAGATTTTTATACAATTCGGATAGCAGTTTTTAATGTAATATTAAGTACGCATATTGGGCAACATCAATCTACCGCAATGTCTCGCTAATCTGTAGGTATCTATGTTTTTAAATTTAAAATTATTGAGCTTACGGATATTTCCGAATTCGGTATCCGAGTCGACGCATCCTGAAAAGGATGCGAATCGTCAATAAACATATAAATCTGTGCATCTATACCGTTGAAACTAGTTTTATTTAATGAGTGATGTGCTTGAAAACTTAAGAAACAAATATTTCACATTCCTAATGATGAAATGAGATAAAATGGAATGGAATGGAATGGAATGAAATGGATTGGAATGGAATGGAATGGAATGGAATGGAATGAAATGGAATGGAATGGAATGGAATAAAATGAAATGAAATGTCATTTATACAGTCTAGGCTGTTACAATCACTTGTGAAGGTCAAGAAGCTACGCCATCGGTTCGCAAAACTACGGCGGGAGACCTTGTACTGAGAAGAACCGGCAAGAAACTCAGCAAGGGCTGTTTTTTTCTCCCTGTATTGTTAAGAGTCGTCAAGTTGAAAAATGACTTCAGAGATACATCTGAAGTCACCTTCCATAGTATTCCATTCCATGAGTAGAATAGGATGTATCCTCTTTGATAAAATAGGTATTACAGAACTCAATAACTATTCCCAGCGATAAAAGCTTTAATGTCAATACGGAAATTAACTCGGAATGCATCGAGGGCGCTGTTTAATTAACTGGGTTGATTGTTATCATTTAATTTATAACGTTATGTCAGCTCGTCGACCACGTAAACATAGATGTTTAAATATTGGTCTACAGACATTGCTCAATGTAATGTGACAGCAAATCTAAGTCGCCCATCCAATCTGGGCCCTGGATTGATGAGATTTCTTTAACGGAATAGGGAGAATGGGCCATGCCTCGCCACGCGGGCCCATTGCAGATTGGTGGGTTGAACACTTAGATTAAAACAAAAAGGGTAGATACGGTACGCTCATACTTGCATCAAACAAAAACTGATCCCACGGCAGCGCGAACGGGACGGCGAGATTCGCGTCACTGCATTACCGACCCGAACGAAACAGCACGTTAAGTTTCAACGGCAGCGCGAACGAGACGGCGAGATCCGCGTCACTGCACTACCGACCAATCACGCGACCAGTACTCGACGTCACTACCGAATAAGATTCAAAAGAAACAGCAATTTTTATGAAAAAATATATTTTATAGTATTTACGAATGAAAAGTGATGCCGTGGGTTTTATTTTTAGTTCTTGAGCAATTTGAGCACTTTTTAAACACACTTAGGCATTGTTTTATCATATAAACACAAAATATTAACAATATTTCTTTTTGGCGTTCACATGTACGTCGTTTGCATGTCAAGTTGTGACTAAAGCGATTAGGGTCGCGGACCACAATTCATGCGGACCACTTTTGTGAGGCTAGTGCCGTATCTACACTTTTTGTTTTAATCTAAGGTTGTACATTTAAACTACGCCCCAACCGAGTATTCCATGGTACTCACCCATTTTTTTTTTGTTTTCCAGGAGGTCTCGGCATTCGTCACGTGCAGACGCTGCTGCTGTTCTTCGGAATGATCCTGGCGTTCACCATGAGGGTCAACATGAGCATAGCCATCGTAGCCATGACCGCCAATACTACGGGTAAACTGACGGAAACTTATTCTGTGAGTTACCTTTATATTTCTATAAAGTTAACATATAAAAGGCACATATTAAAATGATCTTAAAAAACTGGCTAAGTGCGAATCGGACTCGCGCAGGATTCCGTACCATCTATATATATAAAACTCAAAGGTGACTGACTGACATAGTGATCTATCAACGCACAGCTCAAACCACTGGACGGATCGGGCTGAAATTGGGCATGCAGGTAGATGTTATGACGTAGGCATCCGCTAAGAAAGGATTTTGATCAATTCTACCCCCAAGGGGATAAAATAGGGAATGAAAGTATGTATGAAACTTTGTCAATTTTGAACCGATCGGGCTGAGACTTTGCATGCAAGTATTAGAAGAATCATAGATGAATGTCATTGTGTATAATACAAACCTGAGAACAAAAACTGAAGCGAAGCGAGGGCGGGCCGCTAGTTATACCATAAACTTCTTAAATACTTTCTAGTTATCTACAAGCATTTCGGAAGTAAGGTCAATTTTATCTATTTTCTTAAAACATTTTTTAAATGTTCATTTTACATTTGTAAAAAAATATGTTTACAACTTTCGCATTGAGCCCGGTATGACACGGTACAGTTAGCAAAATTTTAGTTTTTCAATTCACCCCCCAAAAGTAACCCTTATTATTCGGAATTTATTTATTTACTCTATTCCAAATTTCTCGAGTTATTTATTAAAGAGCTCGATGGCGCAAGTGGTTAGCGCGTTCGGCTGCGATCGTTGAATTAAAGCAACTTTCGCAGTGGTCGGTCATTGGATGGATTACCAAAAATTTATTATTTCGAGCTCCTCCGTGCTTCGGAAGGCACGTTAAGCCGTTGGTCCCGGCTGCATCTGCAGTCGTTAGCACCCACCAATCCGCACTGGGCCCGCGCGGTGGGTCATGATCCAATCTTCCTATTCCATCTATAGGGAAGGCCTGTGCCCCAGCAGTGGAGACATTAATAGGCTGATGATGATGATGATACTTAACAGTGTGAACAATTATATTTTTATTGAAATAAGCATTGCAAAATCTAGATTTATTCAGGGATATTAAATTTCAGTTGAGACATAATTTCAGGAGAATCTGTTATATTAATTATAGAGAAGATTATTAAAATCTCGTTATGTCTTCTGTGGCGTTGTTCAAATTTCCATTCAAAACTTTTTGACATTTGATGCGTCTCGAGATCGAATTCATCTATTTGAATTCAATATTGGTTTGTGCTAATTATTCCGTACAGTCCTACAGTGTTTTGTTTCCTTATGAAACAAAAGCTTGGGAAATGGTTGCCACTCTTTTTACCCGACTGCGCAATGCAAGAGCGCGAAGCGCGACGCGCAGACAGGGTATAGTGTTTAACAGTCTATATATGTATGTTTGTTCTTTGTGGCACACTAGAGACCAAACGCCTGGACCGATTTAGATGATTCATACATCAATCGATTCGTCTCAATCATGGGAGTGCTACTAAATATATGATAGTAATCAAAATTCAATATGGGGAAAAATAGGCGCCATATTGTGACGAAGTAAAAAAAAAATAAGTTGACAAAATATATCGAGTGGGGTATCATTGTCTAGATAATCGAAAATCATGTTTAGGTATCTAACACCATTTTTCATTTTATATGATTATTTAGGATCTACAACGCTTTAAAGTTGTATATTAACCACTTGCGCTTTTAATTTCAATCTGACGTTTGTTTTGATTAGATATTAGGTTATATTAGATATTCAAGAATACATAATATTTTGCAATAATGGGTCCCGACTGTTAAGGTAGCTTTGTTCCTTATTAACAGAATTATAGACTACTTGTTTTTTTCTTTTCAGTTTTTATTTGAAGTACATATAATCAGGCAGTCGGGTTTTTGATTTTTTTAATTTATCTTTTTTGATGGCTCTTTCATCATAACGCTAGCTAGCTAGCTAGATTAGGAGCGCGGCGTTGCCTACAAATGAAAAATTAGATAAAAAAAACATTTAAAACATAATAACCTAAAGAAATTTGTTTGAATAACCTTTTAATGATTATTTATTATCCTTATCACCTCAGACATTAAAAATTTTATTACCCGCTCTTATAGTGTCAGATAAAAGTGACACCCAAATTTTATTGTTTTGATAAGTAATGTAAGTATCTTTAAAGTTGGTAATAATTATCACTTCTTGTTGCTTATCTATAGTACCTAAATGTTAGTCCGTCCGTCTGTCTGTTACACTGACTTTCCTACCCGCTCAACCGATTGTGATCAATTTAGCTACGGAGACATAGGCCACGTCGAAAAGAAGGTAGACTTTTTGTCGCTTAAAATTGAATTACTTAACGTTGATTTGCAAACGTCGTCATAGTTCGCGAATGGGAGACCTTGTACTGAGAAAAACTGAAAAGAAACTGCGCCAGGGCAAGTTTTAAGTGACACAATTCATCATCATCATCATCAGCCTATTAATGTCCCCACTGCTGGGGCACAGGCCTTCCCTATGAATGGAATAGGGAGATTGGGCCATGACCCACCACGCGGGCCCAGTGCGGATTGGTGGGTGCTAACGACTGCAGCCGGGACCAACGGCTTAACGTGCCTTCCAAAGCACGAAGGCGCTCGAGATAGTAAGTTTTGGTCACCCATCCAATGACCGACCACTGCGAAAGTTGCTAAAGGAGATTGCTCAAATTGGCCTAAATGCACAAAAAATATTGACATACACGGTAATTCTTGACGTAATTTATAATTTAATTTACATTCATTAGATTTCAACGGACACCTTTGTATAATATATTTACTTTAAAAAGGACTTTTAATTTTACCGGTTTGGAAAACATACGAATCATTTTTAATGGCTATGGGTGTAGTAACATTCAGCCAAAGACTAATCGAAGTTGTTTATATAACATAAAAACAAATCTATCTTGTAAAAATCGATAAAATAAATCATTTTTTTTATTACACTGTGGTATTAATATCCACAACTATATTATCATTTTTACTAGATGCAAATGTGCTCAGACAATTATTATAGATGGTAGGCGACATCATAAAGTCTATTGCTATACATTTTTCGCCAAACACCTCCATCAACACATTACAATCTGCATATATGTTAGACTTTATGGTATCTATCTATGGGCCTACGTTCCCTAACTATAAATTAATAAATAAATAAAATTATAAGGTGTGATACACTAAAAATCTAAAATATGGTTATCTTAAAAACATAACAAAAATAATGAAGCTACTGAATATATGGCTATAGAACCCAAATCTCTTAGCTTTCTTATGTTAACGACAGTTTAAAAATTCTCTCTAATCTGTGGCTCATTCACAATCATCACACAGTTTCTGTCACAGAGTACCTACCTTATTATAACCGGAAATGACACCTGATTTTAAAAGATACTCTTATGCATTAACTTTGAAAACAAGCAACTATCTGTTAATCTACATGCTCTATATACCTGAATCTAATCCATAATTTCGGTACTTGGCTTGATTTCCCTAGTTATACTATATAACTTATTTGTTTTTTATTATTTTAATATGTTCAGTGTATATGGTTTATAGAAGTTCTCAGGGGTGTCCGTCAATAATATTCGTTTCTACAGTAATTTATATATAATTTCGAATCTAGGAAACAATTTTTCATGATTATTGGTCTTTAGGCCAAACATGTATGGAAGCTGAGCAATCTCCTTTCAACGATTGCAGCCGAACGTGCTAACCACTTGCGCCATCGAGTTCCTCATGTATAACAATTAAGAAGGATTAATCATAACGCAATTATAGTTATCAGCGGATCCGCTGCCATGTACCTTGTTTTTTGTGGTTACTCCGTGATCATGGCGCTTGCAACAGTACCGAAATATCGGAGACACGAAAAACAAGGTTACTACATGGTAGCAATCTAGGGTATTTGACAGTGTTAAAAAAAAAGTGCCAATTGTTAGCATCTGTGTTAAGAATGAATATTGGCAGGGGTTTTTACTTTTTTTACATAAAAAATATTAATTAAATTTTACTAAAAACTAACAAAAAATATAAAAGTTTTCTTATCTATTGTCACGTGACCCAAAACGCTTGGGATTGGCGGAGCCTAAAATGACGTCACACGCAAGTAAACTTCCGGTTAAAGTGACATTACATTGTATCGTTTGACGTTTTAATAACAGTCGTGTGACGTCACACACTAGTAACACGCCATATTGTCCAGAGAAACGTTTTCGAAGCAACTTGAAAATGGAGTTTTTGATTTGGTTATTTTTATTGAAATACACAACAGAATGATGAATATCCATAAATTTTTACCAACTCCATAAACATAATTCAATAACGTGAGATCGTTTTCTAAAACTTGTCAAATACCCACTCTGTATGAAATAAAACAGGGAGAAAAAGAATTGAACCGATGGCATAGAGTTGACGTTCACAAGAGCTTGTATCTAGAGTGAGTAAATCATTTTGAGTTTGAGTTTGAATCCCACTAAATGTCGCCACACACGGTCCACACGCCACAGCCACAAACCCCGCCACAAGAAGCTAGAAGCGGCTACTAAAGTGACTAAGGTAAGGGAGAGAGGGGTGGGGAATCGCGCGAGTGACGTGTGGCGGCGTTTTGTATCGGCGCATTAAGTGGCCGGTGCGGGCCACAAGAAGCGAGCAACGACGATTTGTAGCGTGTGGCGGCCACCGGCGTACCGTGTGTGGCGAGTCCATATAAAATGTATGAAAACTACAAGAAATATGCCGGTGGCGGCGTTTTGTGGTTGTGGTCGGTGGCCCGTGTGCGGCGACACTTACCTTAGTCGGTCGCTGTCGCTCGCTTCAGCCACTTTAATAGCCGCTTCTAGCTTCTCGTGGCGGCGTTTGTGGCTGACGCGTATGGCCCGTGTGCGCCGACACTTAATCATTTTGAGTTTGAGTTTGAACTCCACTAATAACTATAATGTACTAAAGTGACCATGAAAGTTTAAAACAAATACGGAATTTTCCTCGTCAACACCAA